AGGGGGAGCAGGAAGAGGAGGAGGAGGAGGAGGAGGAGGAGGAGGAGGAGGAGCAACAGCATCACGGAGTCATTGGCGGCGGCGGTGGAGCCTGCTGCTCGGACAACCGACTCGCATGTGCTGGCAACACCAGATCTGGCGGGCGCCAGCAGGTGGGAAGAGAGGAAAAGAGGCTGGGGGGAAACACGGGAAGAGGGGAGGGTAGAGAGACCCAGCCGAAGCGGGCGCCAGCGTGCCTGTGCGCCCGCTCGCCGAAAAAGGAGTGGTTCAACAGACGACCAGGGACCTGTCCTGCAACGGATCCCTCACACCCTCGGACCCTGCGCTCCCCAGCGAAGAGTCCCTACTGGTGAAGAGGTCCCCCACGAATGGGTCTTACCGTCGAGGGCCCCCCCCCGCGATGCGGATCCCCGACGACATGGCTCGCTGAAAATGCCTCCCCCCCAGCGAGGACATCCCAGGCGAATGGTCCCTGGTGACGCGGTCCCTGGCGAATGGGCCGCTGGATCATACTACTGTTGCCGAGGGGTGCATGAGGAGAGGGTGAAGGGTAATGGGGAGCAGTGCTAGGGGGATGGGGGACCTGGACAAACCCAATACGCACAACTGATGCTGCAACGCATCCCCCCGCCCCGAGCCTCTCTGCGCAAATGCGCCAATCTGTCCTCTACTTACGGCGACCACCCGCCAGAAAAGGGGCGGTCCCGTGGGCCTGCGTGGTGAAAGCCCTATGTGTTCTGAAATGCGCACCAACGGTCGCATTCATGCTCGGCCGCATCACTTTGTAGCCCACAGTGTCTGCGAAAGGGAGTCGCTCGCCGTCCATGTGGCGGCTGGGCGCTTGCAGAAAGTGGTGCTCTTCGCCAACCAGCGCTGGCGGACGCAAGCGCGACAGCAGAGCCTGGGGGCCGCACTGGGCACTGGGCGCGCTAGACAGGGTGGAACAACGAAGACGGCCGCGGAAGAGGAGGCCGAGCATCGGCGAGAACGGGCGCGCGCAGGTGGCCTCAGGCACCGGAAGCCAGTGCAAAGCCAGTGAAGGCGCGTGCGGTAGTTGCCGTCGGAGTGGGTCAGCCAGGCGTCGCCGCGGGGCAAGCCGCCAGGGGCGGGCCTCGGGGAAAATGCTGGGTACCCAGGGCCGCGTGGTGTCGAACCGACGGACCTGTGACCGATGGGGCCAGACTGGCTGGGGACCTCCGATAAGGGGGAGGTGCCGTGCTGGACGGATGTCAAGGCGGGGGCAACGGGCATCGTAACAAAAACTGGGTCCGCGCTCCCAGGGCCAGGATCCCTTGAAAAAAAAGCTGCGTCAGCGCTTCCACGGCCACGATCCCGTATAAATTACGCGGCGTCCGCGCTCCCAGTGACACGAACCCTCGTACATTACGCAGGATTTGCGCTCCAAAGGCCACGATTCCTCATAAACTACGCTGCGTCCGCGCTTAGAGGGCCACGACTCCCTGTAAATTACGCGGCGTCCGCGCTCCCAGGGCCATAATACCTAGCAACATACACAGGACTCCAGCTCACAGGGCATCTAGGGGCGCCCAATGGCTTCCTGTGCCTTCTAGGGTCTCTGCACCTGTTTTCTGCAAAAAGGGTTCTGCGCGCGGGGCGCGCCATCCTCGAGCGGGCACGCATGAAAGTACCTGTTTCAAATTATCTGTTCAGCTTCCTGGGGATCTCAAAAAATCCCTCACGAGAATTCTGCGCAACACGCTCGGGGATCCGAGGATCCGTCATAGGGGGCGCATTTTCCTTGAGCGGGCACGCGCGCACCTCATCCTTTCAACATGCATTTTGACCGATTGATCAGGCGGCAATTCGCCAGCCCCCGTCGATTGAGGCACCGGGCACAGCATTGCACCTAAGCGAAGCCCTGAGCCCCCGCCCTCTCCAGGAATAATCATGAAGGGGCCCTGGGACACACAAATAAATAGACGCAAATGACAGGGTTCTCCATATTTTCAAATCTTTTCTTGGTTTTCGTCTTTCCCCCCACTTGCCATATTTTCCTATATTTTCTGGGGGATCGACGATTCATTGTGTCTGTGTTTTTCCCCCTCCTGACATTAAGGGGTGCGCGCTCCCGAAGCCGCGAACCCTCGTGCACTAAAATGCCAGCGCGCTCCCGAGGCCCCCATCCCTCAAGCATCGTTACAGACGTGCGTAACCAGCCAGCCAACAAGCACACCAAACTAGTTGTCAACCATCAGTCGGCTACACGCAAGAGCGACACTGGGTAAGAATGACCTTTGGTGCGCGCCACTTTGGGGGCCGCGGGGGGGGGCCGAACATAAGCGCGCAAGACGCCACTGCCGCCTCGCCTTTCGGCGATCGGGGGACCCCAGTGGGCCCGCACCAAAGGTCACTCTGGCGAAGGGTCACTCTTACGACTAATCGAATCAAGTGTGACAACAAGCCAGTCAGCCGGGTTGCCAGCCAGTCAACGGACAAGAGAACCAAGCAGTCTACCAGCCAAGCGCGGCAACAGAAGCAACCCAGGGGGGAGGAGCGGGCGGCAGAGGGCGACGCCCTTCAGGTACGAAGTGGGGAAGTCTTGTGCGAAACGCTCGGGCCGCCCCATCGACACGTTTGGTGGTGCAACGAGGAGTAACCGCTTTCAAGGAGGAGGGAGCGGATGACGCAGGAGGAATGGGGGAGGAGGCCGGGGAGGGTGCATGGGGCAGGGGGTAGGCAGGGAGGGAGCAAACGGCGGTGATGGCGAGAGAAGACGGATGAGTGAGAGGAGAAAGGGGTGGAAAGACGCGGGAGAGGATGGGCGGGAGGGGGGAAACCGGGGGACTGGGGGGCCAGGGTGAGGAAGAGGGAGAAGACTTAGAGAGAACGAGAGAGAGAGAGAGAGAGAGAACGGGAATGGGAAAGAGCAAAGTGAGGGTTCGCGGGGATGCGCCATCCCAGCTGGCGACGAGATGCGTGATTAGCCGCTCGCCATGGTCGTGGTAGTGACGAGTACGATGACGATGAGCTGCTGGAGACTCCAAGCTGTGGGGAAGCTCCACGGTGCGGCAAGCTCTGGGACAAGCTGCAGTGATACAAACGCCGAACCCCTGCCCCGACGTGAGCTCGAGGAGGGCGTGAGTCCGCCGATTATGATTGGCGGTGGGGGGCATGCTGCGTGAAAAATCGTAGCCCTACACGCGAGTCACGGTAATATCGTCAGTCAGGATCGCGGGCGTAAGAACCAGGAGGCACGGAGCAGCGACTGTATGCGATCTCATGCTGCGTAAGTTAGCTCACCCCAGCATGGACTCGAAACCAGCGATCTGCGCCGAGCGTCGTCGGCGTGCGCGGTGCACCATGTAGGAGGCACCAACCCCTACGACCAGCGCCACGATGACGAAGTACACGCTGCTCGCAGCAGACGAGCTCGATTCTTCCTGCATCGACTGCGTGGTGACTGAGAGCGGCAACGTGGGGCTGTCTCCCAGCTCGTCCAGGCCTGCGCCGCCGACGCGCGCAACCCCCCTGCCGGCAAGCGCGACCCCACAATCGACAAATGCTGGGCGCTCCGGTTTTCTCGAGGGGCCTTCGTTCGGGATGCTGGAAAGTTCACTCTCCAGCATGTCCCGATGACGATGCTGTTCGTCCACTTCCCCCCCCTCCAGCACCACCCAGCGGACCGCCGCACCCCCCGGCTAGGCCCCCTGGCTGGGAGCTCGCATCGGGCGACCACTGGGCTGCGGACCAGTGTTGGGGTCTTCGTGCGGGCGCACCCAAACTGTCAGGAAGTTAGCAGAAGTATGCACTTCCCAGCTGAATCAATATGGCAAGCGTCAATTGAGGAAAGTGCAGCAAGGTCTTGCCACCTGGCTCCTCAAAGCTTGCCCAGATGCAAAGGGCCCAGAAGAAGGTCCTGCGTTACCAGCTCAACTCTGCCTAAGGCTGGAAACATAATAAATTCGCCGGCCCAACGGGCCAGAGGCGTGCTAAGATCTCCGGGAACTGGTTAACAATTCTCTAGTTCGCGCGCGCGGGGCGGTCCCTGGGGTCCCCGGACGAAAAGTACCCCGGGCGACTCCCCGCTGATCCCCGGGCGACTCCACCAGAGCGCCCCATGAGCGCACCAACAGGGCTCCGAGACGTCCCCGAGAGCCCCAAGAAAGGCCAAGAGGCCCCCAAGAGGCCCCCAAGATGGTACACGAGGGGTCCGACATGCCACAAGATCGCTCCAAGACGCCCAAGATAGCCCCCAGACGCCCCAAGAGGCCTCCAAGAGCACTCCCAAGAGGGCCCCCGGAGGCAAAATTCATTGCTTTTCCTTAGGTTTTGAGAGATTTTGGAGCTTCCACCTTTTCGGCTTCCCGACGCCCCAAGACGGCCCAAGAGGCCCCCAAGATCGCCTCAAGAGGGCCCAAGAGGCCCCCAAGAGGGCCCCAAGATGGCCCAAGAGGGCTCGAAGACGGCCCAAGAAGCCTCCAAGACGGTCCAAGAGGGCCCCAAGAACGCCCCCAAAGGGGCCCCAGAGAGGGAACACGAAACAACATTTCGAGCCCTCGGCCCTAAGAAGCCCCTACGAGGCCCCAAGAGGCCCCTAAGAGGCCCCAAGAGGCCCCCACGAGGCCCTCCCCCGAGCGCCCCAGGAGTCTCCCAAGCGGCCCCAGGAACCCCCAAAGCGCCGCATTGACACCAGGCCCTCGGGCAAACGGCAGACATGAGACTGTATGGGCCGGCGGAATGAGCGAAGCGATTAAATAAATAAATAAATAAGCAGAGCCCGGGGCTCGCCGAACCTCGCAAGGAGGGGGGGGGGCTCCCAGAAAGCTGGGCCCCCGAAGGAAAGGGAACCCCGAGATCTCGAGGGTCGGAGGCCCCCCCCCTCGAAACCTGCCGAACGAGGCCATATCAGGGCTCGCCTTCCTTGCCTGGAGCTTCGCTGAGCGAACGCCTCCTCCTGCCCCAACCGCCGCTGCCGCTGCTCCTCCTCCCGCCCCCTTCCTCACCCACCCTCGTCGTCGCCCTCCTCGTATTTCTTCTCC